TAAATATTCCATGCGTATTTTGTTGTTAGTTTCACTTTCAATTTTAAAGAAGTACACTCGAAGTTATTACGGATAAAAAAAAACAACACACAAACAAACAGTTGTAACATGACCACTAACGATTACGAAGAGCAGATCATCATACACGAAGCGAGCTTGAAAAGAACTTTTCACCTGCAATCGATCATAATCAATAACCTTACCTGCGAATTTATTACTCTGAGAATAGTTAAAATAGTAAAATATAACTATTAGAATAAAAAAACCTTCTTTCATTTTAGCACTTATACTTCTTCAATAAAGATAGTGCTTATTTTTTTCAGTCATTTTCCAAATTAGTTTAGTCAAGGCGATCCCATTTCATATAAAATCTTCAGAAATAAGCAGTTTTTTCAAATATTATTTGGTTTTATTAATAAATCAACCAATAAGAACTTTGTGTGAAATGACATGTGTTTTAATCAATATAGTGTTTAACAGTACGCATCTACGATTTTGTAGTTTGGCAGTTTGGTATAAAATAAGCAAACATCTCTTATTAGTCTTTTTCTTGAAATCTTTAAATTACAAAATATTGATCGTGACCGTTATGTTTAAGTGCTTTCAAATAAATATATTTATAAAATTTATTTGCTTGAAACCAACATATAACAGTATTAATGATTCAATGACAGCCTATTATCCTTTAAATCAAGAATATAGGTCCGGCTTTTGCGATTATTGTTAGTCTTCAAACATAATATATATGAGAGTGTTTGTGTTATTGATTATCAGGATATCATATATCAGTATATAAGGAAACAATCATTTACAGTAAATAATTTTATTATTCATTTGTTATTAGTTCGATTCTATTTTAAAACAAACTATAGACAAACACAGAATTTATAAGAGTTGTTACATTATTGATATTCAGGTTATCCAATATCAATTTACATAGGAAAATTATTTATTTACAGCAAATACTTATCATTCTATTTGAAATAACGTTAGAGTTGTGACCATTTGAATTATTTTATGTAAAATACGTTTTTATTAATTTTTTTTACCACGATCCAATATACGTTTTGTCACTCAAATAATTATTTTTCCTCAATCAACTGATGATGTTGATTAAAGTTTGTTTTGATTAATTAAAATATTAAAGTGCTATTGCTACAAATTTTTCGAATTTGTTTTTCCTTTTTTTCCATAACGTGTGATTAAAAGTTCCAAATTACAGTACATAGTTCAAAACGAAAACGATTCAGAAATAAGATAAAAAAAAGGAGACAAAACTAAGAATATGTTAGGTTTTTTTTACTCTTTGAAGTGTTGCAAGTTGGAACTCAAAATGATATATTCTTATTTTTTAATATTAAAAGTAGATGCATGTTTTTCTTTGCAGAGTTAATGTTGAATAAGACATTTAGTTACCATAAAAAGTTAAATACATATCAAGCTTAAGGATGCAATGTCAACACAAAGACGAAAGGCAGGCATCCCAATGACTAAAATATTTCTATTTTTGCGGGAAATCTATTTATAGATAAGCATGGTGTTCCAAAAAGGGGACTCTATTTTGTTATAAATGCCCAAAAAAAGAGAGATGGATGTTACCAAAGGGATATTTAAATCAGGTATTATATGCTACTTAGTAGATGAACCTAATTAGAAATGTTAAATTACATGAGACGAAAACAACTCTTCATACAATTCATGCGTCCAAAACGCTTTTCTGGATCGCTCAGAGTCGAATAATTAAAACAATGATGTATTGAAACCGTAACAGTTGATGAGCTATATGACCAAAAGAACATAAAAATAATAGCAAAATCATTCTCAAGCCAACTTTGCATGAGGAAGTGAAAATCTTAGTTTCTTATTAATTTATGAATTTATAGACGGATTTGTTATAAATCTTGTCAGTACCGAAGTACCGACTACGGAGTTGATGATACCTTCGGGGACTTATAGTCAACCAGCAGGTCTATTTTGTATAGTAATGTCAGTACTTAATACAATTTAAAAACCGGAAACTAATGTTTTTTTTCTGACTATGGTCTGGCGTTGAAAAAATAATACTGGACTCTCACAAATACTACCGGTTTTTTTTTATAGTTTGATACTTTATGAATAAAGGCAACAGTAGTATACCGCTGTTAAAAAGTCATAAAAACTGTTTAGAGTGTTGCTTCTAACTTTCTTTTGTGATATATGATATCAAACAAAAAACCGTATCTACCTTAGCTAGCTTCCTGTTCTGTAGTATTGACCACCTTTTGACGTTTTTTATAACTAATCGTGATTGTGGTTATCCTGTTGGTACCTGCACTTTCCAATTTATCATTGTATGTATTATTGTACGATATATGACACATATGGTCTTGAAAGAAACAGGTGGAGATTTAAACATATTTAATTAAACCGAACATTGTCAATATACAAAAAAGATATTTATTCCTTTCGAAAACAGTTATATTGATGATGCATTGCATCACTTTGACTTTCCAGATCAGATTGCAGTTTATTCAAATACATGTACATGTACTTTGCATGCAAAACAAAGCATATGATCATCTCTCCTAAAACCTTTTTTTTAATTTAAAAAGACGGCTTCTAACCATCAATTTAAAACGCTATATATGCTTGATATAAGACTGCACATTATCTGTCCTACATTTTTAAGCTCTGTAAATTTATCGATAATGTAGTTTTTCTGAAAATAATTTCATCGACTTAAAACGTTAATTCATTTTTTACCAGTAGATACTAAATTCTGATACCTCGTTAAACACCTGTTGTTACTCAAGGCTCACTCGTTCAAGATCAATACTTTTTGTAGCCTGATGTTGACTTTTTCTCAGGCGTTAGGCCAGTGTTGTCATTTTAGATACTTTTGTTTTAAGAACCCACTGTATACTTTAGTTACAATGTAGCTTACAACCAGTTCTTTAACTTGTAAATTATTAACAGCTCAAAATCGAATGTTACCCATAGAGAAAGAGCTTCCTCAAGCTTTTTTCTATAACCACCATATTATGTAATCTATGTATCAGAACTTTAGACCACGACTACTGATCAGGAATGAAAGATCATACTCTTAAACCTCTTTAATGACAATTCTCATTAAAAAATGCAACCACATCGTACTGCTACCTCGGTCAACGTCTTTGATTAGATTAAAAATGTATTATGCCTTGGTGTTTTGAATTAAATTGTTCATATTTGTTATATAACTTTTCTGATATTAGGGGTGTTATTTGTTAACTGGATTAAGGAAACAAAAACATTCAGCATGTCTACAGCAATATAGTAGGATCAAAAATGGAAAATATTTCAAATTGATAGTAAAATAGAATATCATTATTTCTGTGATGAAAACAATATGTATCAGGCGCTAACAAGTGATATACAATTTGTATTTCGTGTATACGATTCGAACATTTACAAGTATTGTCTATCATCGGATCGACTTCACTCTACAATTAAGGCTATTGACGTCAGATATTGAAACCACAACAAAAATGCCATATTCTTGATAACATAATATATCTTACAGTCATGAGTGATTAAATTATCAGAATCTATAGATTTTAATTGTACTTAACTTTCTTTAATTTGTCGAATGCCTATATATAAATGTGAACAGTTGATGCAATCATTTGTTGATATGACTAGCCGACGTCGCTCGTTGATTTTCAATTCCGAATCCATATTTTCTTATGTAACTATATATTTAGTTTATTTTTGTTTTCAATGACTAAATTTCAACGATACTCACTTATGTTTATTCAATATTCACTGTAATTGTGAACATTCGACCTCAAAATAGTAAAAGTTATTTATTGTAAATAACACAAATATTGGAAACAAAATTATATATATAGAAGGAGTACAACTTTAAAATTTATGAACATAGGGACAACGTGTTAGGTTCTTTCCTAACAGTGTGTAGTCTAAACGGTGGCGAAAAACACAATGCCTCGTGTATTGAAAGCGCAAATCATTCGGTACGCTAGAAACATTGAAAACGCTCTTTGATTGCATGCTTTAATGTCAACTGTCTTTTTCTATTGGAGTCTTTCATTTTAGTGGTTGATATGAAATCATAATTAAGTTTATACTCAAACTATATGTGTATTCATGTGAGCTCCAATGGGAGAATAAATAAGTTCTGCAGAGTATTGAGCAGCCAATTTTACATTAAAAAAACTTGCAAGGGATAATAATCAACAAAGGAAACTTGAGCACAAACATCACGTAATAACTTTTACAAATTGTGAATTTGATGGAGTGTTGTCTCATTGGCACTCATACCACATCTTCATATATCTATTGAGCACGAAAATCAAGTAGTAACTTTTTAAAATTCTTTTAACAGCAAATGTTCCTGTTTGTTTAGTAAAATTGATTTCCCTAATTTTTCACACATTTAGAACAGTTCTGACCAGTTTTACATATTGTTATAAACTACACATTTATTAATATGTCCCGCCATATCAATTCCGTTAAGTTTGAATAATTAAATACCTCTGGTTAATAAATTCGTAATGAACGGGGTAGTATGGTAGTTTCTATACATATCAGCAGGGCATTCTTTGATCTATTACACCGACTTTCAAAAGTATGACTAAATCAAAGTCTCGTACAAGGACAATACAAAGGTCCCTGTTGCTTAAATGGACATTTGCAACATTTCTTTTGTTGCCTGTTGAAAGGATTCGTTTATGCTTTTATCCAACAACGCCTTTTCCCAGTGGCAGTCCTACTTTCCAAGCCATAACACCGATCAACCCACTCTACCAAACTACAAATTATTTGGATCTTTTATTGATGTGTGTTTTTCCTGCATATACAAAAGTTAAATGCCACTGGACTTTAAACTATCAATCATCAAATCCAGAAGATAGCAAAACGTACAGTATGATCAATAGTGTTCCATTTATGTTTGATAACTGTATTCTTAAATATTTATTTTAATATTTTTGAGCCATTGTCTTTATTTTTATAGCATTCAAATTTGCCTTGACGTGCATTGTACCCAACATGAACCGATAAGTAAACATTCATGAAAAAATCTTAATTTGTTCATCAATGGAATATGAAATAAAAAAGCAATATTTCATACTTAATAAATACAGCTTGATATGCTTTTATTTGATAGATATAGGAAGATGTGTTATGAGTGCCAATGAGACAACTCTCCATCCAAGTTACAATTTATAAAAGTAAACCATTATAGGTGATATGCTTTTATTTGAACACTTTTTTAGTGCAATGAAATGACCATGACCATGTGCTAGCAAAAACCTTGCCCAAAACTTGGTGTCGTGAATTATTATACCTGTTTTTAAAAAGAACATGCAATAATTGACATTTAGCTCACACGAATTGAAACAAAATCGTTTATAGAATTGTCCTTAGAAATCGACATAAAACTCATGTCGCATTTTGCGAACGTCTTGGTAGAAATAAACATATATATTACATTGGAAACAATTTAATTCGAATTTTAACTTTGTTCAAGATCTTTATATTTCTTGTTTCTGACATTACATAGACGTAAATGACGTGTCAATGTTGGACAGTCTAAAACAATAGCTATCACCACAAGACCTACTAATACACCTAAAGCAAAACCACCGAATACTTTTGATGACGGTCTACTATCATCTGCACATTCTAACCGACGTCGGTATGACGATAAGGATGTCTTGTCTACTGTCAAGTTCTTTCTGAGGTCTTCTGCAACTTCGAGGGCAACTTCTAAAGTAATATTTGCTGCAAAACTAGTGGCATTGCATTTTTCAGCATTAGGACAAAATTCACATACCGTCAGGTCTGAAATATTAAAACAATTACTATTTGATTTGTAATTCATTAAAGACAACCGAATTAGACTATTTACCGGATTTGTAATAACAAAACAATACGACGGGTGCCACATGTTGAGCAGGATCTGCTTACCCTTCCGGAGCACCTGAGATCACCCCCAGTTTTTGATGGGAATCGTGTTGCTTAGTCTTTAGTTTTCTATGTTGTGTCATCTGTACTATTATTTGTCTGTTTATCTTTTTATTTTTTGCCATGGCGTTGTCAGTCTCTTTTCGATCTATGAGTTTGACTGTCCCTCTGGTATCTTTCGTCCCTCTTTTGTCTTATAAATTTGTATAAGTTTTAATTTGAATGTGTATTTTCATTCCATATATCATTTGACTGTGTTTTATTTCACACCAAAATTGTATTTTGAAGTTGTTCTGAATAACGTCAAGTGTATGAGTGTTTCCATGTTACAAATACGGCCGTTAATAAAGGTTAATTCAGCAAAAATTTTCAATTTCGTTGGAATTAAAAAAGAATTAACAAAAATACCAAGGTAAATTCAAAAAGGAAGAAGTCCATAAAACCTGACAAATTCGAATGGTATATTCTATCACGAAAGGAAAGAATTGAAAACAACTGTCATATTCCTGACTTGGTACAAGCCTTTTCCGAAGAAAATGGTTGGTTTAACCTCCCACTTGTATGACAGTTGTTTAATTCCTTTATATGGGCGAACTATTGTGTGAGCAACCCCAACTGACATAATTGGTTAATGTGAAAATAATTGTATTCAAATATTATATATATTATCAAATAATTAAAATGTTAAATGATCCTATGATAGTGAACAAATTCTCAATTTGTCTTATTATTTCCTGACCTAATCATTATATAGAATATATATGTAGGACTCAAATCTATGGCGGGTTCCAAATCTATGGCAGATTCCTAATATATGGCAAATGTGACGTAACAAACGTCAAACAAATCAAATCTATGGCAGATATTTGTTTTCTCCAAATCTATGGCAGATCTTGAAATTACGTCACAATAGAAATAGCGCAATATTACATCGTCGCCGCCGCAAACGTTGGCGGAACTCATAGATTTGAACACGATTCCAGATGAAGGTATTTCCCTCGACAACAATTTGCGGATGGTTTAAAGGAAGATATGACTTATTATCCGGAAGAGGGACAAAATGTGCTGTACCGGCCGAAACCCGCGATGAACAAGGGCACCGCTTTTTTCAGTACCGGATATTTTAGAAAAGGAGTTATAGTAAATATTTTACTGTCTGCAGCTGGCAAAGTTTATAAAGTGAAAGATAAAATTACCGGATACCAATTTGATTTAAATCGTCTTCAAATAAAAATGATATTAACGATGAAGTAAATATTATTTGAAAACTCAAACTGTTCATTTTTATTTATCATTTTTATTTTATAAAAATAAATATCCCCTTTTTTTTGTTTATAAGGGACTTACTAGTTAGTTTAATGAATGGGTTAAATAGGTAACATGCACAGATTAAAAATGTTTATTTTTACGGTGCACATCATTTCAATCTTGAAGTCTGTATTAAGGTATATGATTTCATCATTTACGAATTTGATCGGTTGCCAACACGATTTGGTTGACCATTATGAAATGCTTATTTCACAAATATTTATATACATGCTCCCGTCGTACATGCCCACTTGTTTAAGACAAGTCATTGGTCGTATATGTACTGCATTGTTTTCCATTTGCACAAAATTTGCCATAGATTTGAAAACAACAAAAAACTCGCCATAGATTAGGAAATTACAAAACTTGCCATAGATTAGGATTGTAAAACAATCTGCCATAGATTTGGGGTGGCATGACGTCACATTTACCATAGATTAGGAATCTGCCATAGATTTGGAACCCACCATAGATTTGAGTCCTACATATATATTGTTTTTATTTTATTGCTGTAATATAAGTTTGATATCAATGTCATGAATAGCAATACCGATCAAACCAAAAGCCAGTTTAGTAACCCGAAGTTATAGGTTAACTATACTTCAATTAGTATATTTGATGTGGTTATTATCATAGTAGCTTTCATTCTTGTTAAAATCAAGACTGTTAAATTTTTAGTAAAAGGATTATTCTTTTGTTTTTCTTTGTGGGCTATATCGATATATTATGAATAGGATGGCTGAGGATACCTTAGCTAGAGAAGTTTCATGAAGGGTTTTAAATTATACCAAATGTTTGTTTTAAAATCTTGCTTAAATTTCTTACATATATAGAAATAGTTGTGATATTTCTATTAACAGACAATAACTTCATTTTGGCATATCACAGTTAAAAAAATTACGAAATTATGACCCTTGACATAATAGATTATTTATGTTGCATTTGTATAATATCATTCCTGTTCGGATATATCGTGATTTATAACATTTTATCGAATTGATATCTGTAGCCACAACTTGTGATACAGAAAATTGTGTCTAGGGATTAAATATAAACATTGGCACCTTTTGGTTACAAAACAAGTTGGCTCATAGGGAGTGTCCAAAGGTTTTTCTATAGCTATTTGGTCCAACAACCATCATGTTTTACTACATACCTTTTTTTTTAGTAATTTTTTTGACTGAGCATTATGCGTTTTTAAATTGACCGATTTAAAAAAAAATGAAGGTGTATCTTATATATTTTACGATAAAGTTAATTTCAAGGTCAAATTGAAAAAAAGGTGAACCTTGCCATTCGCCAGTGTCACAACTCAACATCTTGCATAGCGATAAACCATAATTTTACCTTTACTTACTAGCTGATTGTTCTGTTGTGTTCTGCAGTGGAAAAGAAAATACACCTAAAACAGGAATACTGTAATTAAACGGTTTTATTATTGTGCAACTTAATTTTATTGTGTAGTTTTTTTATTGTATTTTTACTTTTGAAAGATACTGATGAACCCTTCCACAGCACGTGTGTCAACCCCGGGTTATAGTAGAATTCTAGGTGTAAAACTTTAGGTTCAACTTCTAGGTACAGTGTCGTGTGGACTGTTTTGTGACTATTTGCTTTTAACTATGATTGTGTACATCTTTCTTCCACTTATGCTTTTCAGTGACCCCTTTGTTATCTTCTTTTTTTTATATCAAATTTACATGTTTGCAACTTATGAATTTTTAAGTTAATATGACAATATATAAAATGTCTGATACCACTTTTGTCTGGTAAGTCATATACTGTACCAAACATAATAAGTGTATGCTCTATCGTGTGGTTGCCTCGCATTTCTAAATGTACCGATGTTTCGTCATATATTTTGTTGTAACATCCGGGTGTCGTAGCGAGCATGTGTTCAATAAAGATATATAGTTTTAGGCAGATAGAAACATGACTACATATATAACAAAAAACGACAGAAGATACCAAGGGAGGAATCAAAACTCAAAGGTAAAACAAAAACGGACAAAACTATAGCCACAATCAAAACCGAGGAAAAGGCAAACAATCTTTAAAACACGAGACAGAAAATTTTTTTATGAGTAACACGAACCTCGCCAAAACCCTCTGTGATACCAATAGGTATATAATCTATTATTACATTTGCGTTCAACTTTCGACCCTGTTTAAACTTTCGATGAATTAAATATATTACGTCACACCCAAGATCCAACGTTGAAATGTGTCTAATTAGAATTTTTTTTAATTAAAATTACGAGTATAAAAAATAAATAAAGTTCCATCATATCATTTATTACAGCGAAAAGAAAATGAAACTGGTAGGGTGTGATATGAATGGCAATTTTATTTACTTAAATTTATATCAAGAAAAGATCAAATGCGATAATTAATTTTATAGATAATCATCTATTGTAATAAATATTTATCTGACAACAAGTATTTAAATATATTTAAGAAACAAAATTCATGTTAAAAAACTATTTTCAACTAATTTTTAATTCATTAAGAAGAAACGTAACTATACCTATCAAGGTTTGGTCCGTAACAAAAAAAAAGTTAAAGAATGCTTAAACGAATTTCAGCAAAATACTATGCTTTAAATTTGGAACACCAGAGTCGTGTTTCGTGTACCTAAGACTTACCAGAGGCACTCGAATCTAAACAGGTATAATGCCAAAATAAATATGACGTTGAAAAGCAAGGATAAACAAATAAAAATCCGAAAAGGTTGAAAAAAAGGTGGGGATAGGAAAACACATAAGTGCTTCGAATAATTTCACATTTAATGAACAGTGTATAAATAAGTTACAGACACTTAACATGCTTAAGTACAATCACTATGGAAATAACAATAAGATTAAGGTCAAAATTGTTCGCTCTGTGTCAAACTGTATGGCTTTGTAGCTACCTTTTTGTAACTGTTTATACATGAATGGGTAGGCTTATTATTTTTGACGTGTCTGAGTATCACGAGTTTTTGAGCTTTAAATTCTTGACCTGGTTATTTTTTTTATTATTATAAATGTGTTTGAATGTAATTAAAATGAATAACACAAGGAGCTATAACTCTATATATACGTGTTCTTCCTTCGTTTTATTGCAATTTCTTTGATAATGTCTTCGATTGATTGGTCGATTGACGTCAGTTGAGTGGCTATAAATGATTCATCTCACGTTGGAAATATTGTTTCGTATTGGTCTGGGTAATCACAATATTTCATAGCAATTTATATAATTCATCCTTTCTTTGCGTTTAGACAAAAATTTGAAGAAAAATAAATTAACACTTGATAAAGTTTGCTTCCAAAGTGCTTTAATTTCTTCGACTTACCTTCTTTAGGAATGGTTAAATCCAATACAGAGGATGTATAAATACCTGATCATTTATTTAGAAAATACTTACAATTGAATGTATTGTTGTATACTGTGTCTTCCTCAATAAGTATTATATGCACTAAAAAAATATTTAAAAAAAGTATTGAGAAACATTATATCTTCGCATGTTTGCTCATTTCAGTATCTTTATTTAATTATGGATCTATAACAGTCCCGAGGATATCATTCAAGGGGATAAGAATTTGGTACCGACATGTTCTTATCTAGATAACAATTTAGTCAAGAATCTGGTGGATAAAAAGCTTGATTTATATTATATTTCAAACCCTGATTTTTTTTTTTATCTTGACGAATATTTCAAAGAATGCACGCTATTAAGAGTCTTAGGTAGGCGTATTTAACTGAATACATAGATAAACACTAACTGACACCTTTAGGGTCTTTCGTCCAATTACAGATGTACTTAATTTCGTTTAAATTCGTTAAAATTCTTTTACCTCTGTTAGAAGTCTTGATAAAGATTGAATTATTTGTCATTGATCCGGAACTTATACTCAAATCATATGAAACATATACATCATATGCCATATCTTTCCAGATTGTGCAGTTATTCTCCTCATAAGTACTATACACACAGCTAAACAACGATTTACATGAAGTCCCACATTCCTCGTTGGTTAAATTGTAAATCACCTCATGAATTGCCAGACTTGAAGCTACATTGATTTCTGTTATATCAGTGGAATAATATTCTTGATCTTGAATTGCTATACGATAAAAAAGGAATGACACATTAAAAACACAAATACATGAAGATGGAAATATAAAATAATCCTTCAGTCTTTTTACATGAATATAGCAACCAATTATTCGCAGGCAGGGTAATGCACTTTTAAAAAACTAGACGTTGATTTTCCATGATTGCATCGAAATCTAAATCTAACTTTATTTTCTCAACTATGCGACATTTGATTGGCTAAAACGTTTCGTCGACGTCAAGTATGAGCTTGTAACGAACAGTTGTTCGGGCACCTTGTTATGATAGATGTCAGTGTCAACCGTCCGACAAAAACACGTTAATATAGAAGGATGTTGCTTATATTTTGAGGTACGTTTGTTTTAAATTATTTTAGCCTTCTACTGCCGAGGTTAGTTGATATTCATTTCATTGATGATTGAGTCTCAATTTGTAAATAAAGCTGTATTGTTTGCTTCAAAATGGGTCTAATTTGTTTCGTGCTTCGCTGTCAACATGGCTAGGGCAGTCTGTATAGACAAACTTCCTATGAATAATTTATGCAAGTCAACACTTTTTTACTCGCTTATAAACAATCCTATCTTCATTGGCAATCGGCTAAGTAGTCTTATGTCAACATTTTGCAGATCGACCTGCCATGCACAGATGCGGGTTCAAGATTTTTAAATAGGGGACCCATGATGGCCATCTAACGTAAGGAGTGGATTTTGTTAAAAGTCCAAGCACCACATCGTGACTTGGATGGAAAGTTGTCTCATTGGCACTTATACCAAATCTTCTTATTTATAATTAATAGCATAATGTATTAGAGTCTTGATGGGGGTCCTTCATTCATTCTTTTTTTATACCATTTTCTATATTCTTTATCTATTTTGCCCATTATTCTCTATTCTCTATATTTTAACACCCCATTATTCTCTTTTCTTATTGGTCCTTTTTTTAATTCTTTAATTTTTTAGCCTTTTAGCCTTTTGTTCTGCATTATTTTACCATAATGATTATATCTATTCTGTAAACACCATCCAGACCCTCATGTGTTAGGTGTATATACTTTTTTTGATGTATTGAGTTACATTCAGTCAATATGGAATGATATTTAAAGTCAAAATAAATAACAAATTGGTAAAGCATTGTGATGGGTAAATATTAGTTAACTTGTACTGTAGTTTTTATAGAAAACTCATAGATTACAAGTTGATTTTAAATCACTGCAGAACTTTTTTGGTTTTCTTATTGTATCATAACATGAATACCAATAACTTTCAAATTGCCACTAACTGTTTACAATATTTTTTAGTATTAAGATGACTTAGAAGCAATGGTGTAATAAAAGTTTTTACAAACTGAAATTGAAAACAGTCATCAGAGAAAAAGAGTACGCACTTGTTTCATTGAAAGATCAACACACACAAGGAAATTGTCAGCCCATGTATAACCATATATTGAGATAATTTTAGATCTATGCATGAAAAGAAAGTATGAGGACATATAACAAAACTATAACAGTGCTGAATATAAAATAGTCCATGTCATGTCACATGTAAATTGGAAAAAAACAACAACTTTGAAATGAAGCAGTTTTCAGTATGACAACAAAAGAAATAATTACATGTTCAAACTGACTCTGGAACATTGAAGACAAAGAAATGAAAGTATTAAATCAGGGGAAAGGACTGTGCACTTCTTTCTTGTAAGATCAACACATAAGAGAGGGTCGTAATGGGAATACCTTCATGACGAATAACGGTAAAAAAAATCTTGCCAAGTAACGTTAATAGTAATTTTTGGTGCATGACGATAAAATGTACATTTTCTTTATGACGATTAAACAAATCAACAGATTTTGCCGAATCACGTTTAATTCTTTCTAAAAATAACGGTAACAGTTAATTATTTGAGACCTCTAACGAATCACGATAAGGATATTTTGACGAATCACGATAACATTTTAACCAATTTGACGCTAATGGTAGCCGGAAATGACCGTTTGATGCCTGACGGTAAAGGGCATGCCTACCCTCATAACAGGGAATTTTCACATCATTATTCATCATATGCCAGATGTTGAGATAATTTTGGATCTATACATAAACAGTGAAATGAGTGAGAATTTAATTCTAACATCATATTTTGGCAGGCTGATAACTGCATGTGCTTACTGGATATATTGTAAAACACAATATATTGCATGTATATCATATTAATCTAGGCATATTACATGTGAATTTAAAGAAAAATTAAGGAGTATAGAATTTTCCAGTGGAAAAATAATATAAGAAAATCAACAGGATGATATTTGTCTACATTTATTATAGATCGTGGAAAACCAAAAAAACAGTGTATGTATTGTGATAAGGATTATCAGTTAATTGTGACATGTACAATCATGTTAATTATTTTGATATAAAGTGGGAGAAAACTATTTTGAAATGATTGAAACATTACCATCAGTTTTTATTATTCTTTTGAAATAATTTAATTTTGAATGTAAGGCGTCTTCCGATTGGTTGACGTTGTTTTGTTTATCAGCTCATAGACATAATTTTGTCATGTGACCTTGACGTCATCAACGTTTTTTCATGATTTATTCCGGTTTAAAATGGAATTAAGAATTAAATTATAAGAAATGACCGTAATATTTTTTCTGTCTATGAAGAAATAACATAAAAAATGTGGTGCACACTTTAAAATAACCCGCTACGCGAGTTATTCAGTGTGCACCACATTTTTTTCCTTAAATAGACATTATGTATTTAATAATTAATTAATACTCATAATGAACTTAAGAAGTAAAGGCTTTCACCTGCATACCACTTTATTGAATAAACAAATAGTTTCACTTCTTTTAGGAAATGTCTTATCTTTTTAATTACAATAAAATTTAAGTTCTTGTTCACATAGTATTATAATTTTTGCTGGTTTCAATCCTGGACCAATGGCCTTTTTTTCAAATTTATTGATTTAATGTTTGTACGGAAGAGACTGCAATGAATGAATGATGCATGTTCAACAAATGAACATAGATAAATTGTAGCTCAAAGCACAGGGGCGGATACAGCCTTTTTTAAAGAAGAGGAGGGGGGGGGGGGGGGTTTCAACCCAGGATAAAGGGATTCCAACTATATGTCCCAGTTCAAAAACATTGATCGTAAAAAGAAAGATGGGTTCTAACCCCAGAATCCCCCCCTTTTGGATCCTCCACTGAAGCATATATTGTATCTAGAAAGATCCATTTACACATGTGACAGTTTTCGGATCCATACCAATCTCAGTGAACTATTTAAAAATGTTTATATAAAAACACTGTCAAAGACTTTATCAGGTCTGAGCAGATTAATATTTCTCATGAAACATGCAGAATTTTATAGAAGGGGCTTCATACTTCCATGCAGTAGGACTAGTTAAATGTGTCCTTTCTTATCAGGAGAAACACTATGTTTTAGAAAGACTTTATTGCTGTTCGTCATCTTAAGGTCGGAAAAATCCTATGAAAATTGAAGTTAAGTAAGTAAACAAGTTAATTTCAATTACAGTCGTCACATATGTGGATCAGAAGTAAGCATGAGGTTACGAAAGCTCTTACAAAGTATATGGTGGTTAACGTTAAAGTGCCCCTCCCTTCTTTTTTTCCTCCTAACATTCGTATTCACCGCGATTCTTTCAAACATTCAAGTATAAAAATAACACTGTTTTACATCTTTAATGTGTACATTTCAGGTCAAAAACTATCAACATGTCGTTTATGTCTTTCTCGGCACTTTGACACCGTAAAGGGGAATAATCGAATTTGAATCATTTAAGTGTTAAAATGTCGCCGCGAAAGGACTTGTGTATCATTCATTGATAAAGATAGCATTGGCGCACCCCGTAAATATTTATTGATCTCTTTAAAACTTAGCATATTTATTTTTGGAAAGCTCACGAAGACCGATATTGATGTTTCTTGTTTTTAAAATGAACACAACTCTTTTAAAATTGACAAGGAAGTTGTTTTTTGGTTTATTCATGGTTGGATTGTATTCACTTCTGATATTTTGTATTGGAAAATGGGATATTTTAAGAAAGAAACATCTGTTACAGGAAAGATAACATCTTTATCAACCAAATACAACTCTATTTTCATTCATTAGCGTAGTTCTTTGGGGTGTGCCGGGCTCTTGAATTGAAGGTTCATCCGCCATCTTTGAATGTCGTATGTTACCATGGTAACCAGGTGGGCAGTTCTGAGACACCAGAAATTAAAAGTTTGGATGATGTAAGGGATGATCAAAATTCATTTTTGGTATGAAAGTTTCTTGAGAAAAAATTTCAAAATAATTTCAAATTCTAATAATTTTCTTATGAATAAATAGCCAATTTACCGTAGAACAGCATTAACCAATCTGCGTTGTGACTAAGTATCTATGGTTACGGTCCATATATATTTATCAAAATAATGCAGTTCTATTTTCGTTGATATAACTTCTTTTATTTAAAATCTAATTAAAATAATAAAATCAATACTCGTAGAGACTTCCCTGTAACCACGAACAATCAAGGTCGAGGATAATTGTACCAAAGTCAAGTAGGAAGCTAATCATCCTAGAGCATATCTTGACCAAAAATTTTTTTTAAATTTGAAACATTTCTTTGTTTGATTGATTAGTTGATTGTTGGTGTTGAATGCAGCACTATTGCTTATGTTGTGAATGAACTACTAAGACCAATCGGCAAATGAGGCCCCGAGACAATCGTCGAAATATATCAGTTTTATTTATATGTGTATGACTTAAATTTTAAGGTACATAATATTCTTGTATGATTAATATTATATCAAAAATCCATACAATTACGAAGACAAACAACGATATACCCAATCAACTTATACAGAAAAACAATTACATGTATAAAGCCCTAAGTGGTCAGACAAAAAGCTAAGAGGAAACAGGAAATAGGCATTAAAGTTGACATTTGAAGATACAAACTAAGGCATTACTGTCTACGTATTTAACGATAAGGAGTTTTGGTATGAATTGTTAATCAGACATCTATCCAACAAAGTCAAACAAACAAGTATATAAGCAACCATAGAATATCGACCAGCCATTACCTACCGGTTTGTAAGCCATAAAAGGTCCCGGAATTTGTCATTTCTAAACAACCGTTAGGTATCTTTTTAATGTCTTGTTACACATGTATTATAATAATGTAATATGAAGCAAAATTAAGACGCAATTGTACTTTTTCGGGAATTCCTTAGAACTAATTATAAACACCAATACGGACATTAAAAGTAAATTAATGAAATCAAGAATTTATTTTGTAACTTACTTTTATCGGAAGTACATAAAAACGGATATTTCAGATGACAGTCCGCAAACTCAACAGTTCCTGATAGGTCTACATACAAGCACTGTGTTGAATTTATCATTTCAATAGGTAATCCATAATTCCGGTTAATGACACTGCAATTTTTTGCTCCATATATATTTGTTTGGAATCCTGGTTTGATACTGCCAATCCAAAATCGTCCCGATTGCCATCTTAAAGTAATATCAAAATGTATATATATTTTTTTTTTAAAAGGAAAATCGGTTTTGTGTCTTGATTAAACATATATAATATGATAAGTCACCTGAGTTAATATCTTTAGTTTGTTGTTATCATACAACAGTAGAAAAATACCGACGTTCAGTCTTTAAATAACATAAACCATTAAAAATAAAGACCCCACGACAAAACAAGACCCCGTCCCAATGAAAAATAAAATCAATTAGACAAAAAGTGTAAAAAGTCGAAAGTGAAAATAACTTAGATATATCTTAGCAATACAAACCTGAAATTAAACCCGGCTTATGGTAGGGTTCGTTCTACTCAGCTAATTTTTGTTTACTATGTAGTGTCTTGAAGACTGTTTTTTTTTGTTGCAAAGTTTCGTGTTTACCTATGGTGCTGTAGCATGCTCTTCACCTTTTGAATATTGGTTGCCCAATTTGGGTATATAACTCCACTTTGTCAAAATAACCAACATTTACATCCAATTGTTCTTAGATGGAAAGCATATTCTGTCCGTTATGCAGTTGTTACCTTTTGCATTCATTTTCTCATCTAACATGTCTAATCATAAAGTGTTATAATTAAGTTTACCAACACATGTTAACATCCTTGATCTCTGTTCTAAGGTTGATAGAAAGTTGTCTAATTAGCAATCATTGCACATTTCTTTATATTTAAACATAAGGTAAAATTCAGTGAATGTGTGGCAAAATAGATTGCAACAGTTTGAAGTTAACGACAAAATGCACATTACAAACCACACAAAAAATATTAATAATCATAAAGAGAAAAAGCTGTATTACACAAAATACTAACATAATTAAGGTGACATTATATTACCACTGATCTTTCGTAGATCGATGCGAAAGAGACAAATCAAGGTAACAAACAGAAACTAAAGGAACAAATCATGTAAAATAAGACAAAAACCTAACTAAGGTATGCGAGGCAACATGATAAATCAAACTTATCAAACTCAGAACACGAATGATCATAATACATTGTTAATAATGACATGAAACTGCTCAATAGCATTACCCATGTTTTTCAATTCCAAATGCTAAATACTTCCTATCCAATGGAGATCTAGCTTGCAGAAAGTTCAATCCTTTAGATTGACATCCTGTGAAAGCTTCATACCAAGAAACACTGTTGTTGACTACATGCACCGTCCAATTTCTCGCATAACCAACCCCAGCTGAAAAAATAACGTTCAACATGTTAGGTGGAAAAATTATTTTGTTCCTTCTTCCAGGAAAGTACTCAAATTTCAAAATTTGGTATTTGATTTTCTATTCAAAAGGTAAAGGGTAGTGTATTATTATTTAAAATATCAAGTCACTTTAATGTATAAATTCTACACTTTTACATTGATATAGTTTCAACTGTGCCAAAATAATGAATCGCTCTTGGAATATTATTTTTGATTTGTAGACATGTTTTGGCGATTTCTAAATTTTTAAACTGTTGATTTATTAGTATTTATTGGACTCGAACTTTCTTGGATTTCGTTAATATAAGTGAACCACGTTCAACGACGTACATATTTTGTATAGGCTTGTATGCAGACATTTGTACTTATTCCATGAAAAATGGAACCCACGAAAATAAATCCACAGTAAAATGAAAATGAGACCGTGTCCAATTGGTGGTCAAATATGCAATGTACGTGTCTTTTAAAGCCAAACCCATAGATTTCTGTACCTCAGTAAGATTTTAAAAAAATAAAGAAACTTTCTGTGTGAGTGACTCCAAAACCGAAATCCAATCTGATGAAACCTTCGATGAACATGCATGTAAATATTTTCATAAGAAGTGTATTTTACTTTTTAAAACATTCAATGGTATACAAAAAATATATTTACACCAAATATCAATACGTTGTTTGTTTGTTTGTTTAAACTATTCAACTGCAAGTTATGAACACAAGGAGACAACATGTGCTTCTTATCCTTGTAAAGAAGTAATGTTTTGGTATAAGAGACCGAACATGACTACAATATTCAATGCATATTTGGTTTAGATGATAGGGGAAAATACAATCAGCTATAATTAGACAAGTAACTGATATATAGCACACGTACTTAAGTATAAGATTTAGATAATATATAGTTGTCACTATTTGGCTGTTCTTTTAATCTAAAAAAATATTCAAGCTTCTCTCATAGGAAATTATATACTATATATGCAAGCCAAAATAATATCCAAAGGTTTTTTTAAATGTTTTGAGCAAAAGTATTCCTTTGCCTTATTCAATATCAAATAAGTTTCCTTTCGAACACATTTCAGAGTGAAGCAATTGTGTATGTGTTTGTAACAGTGAATCTGTTCAAGCAGTTGGAATTAATATCCCAGTGTTGAATTTCCGTGACAGGTCTATCGTGCTGTTCCATCAGTTTTTTTGTTATGTTTTGTTTGTGTATTTTTTTTATCATTATGCTGATTTTTGTTTTCATTGTAAATGACATATGTGACTATAGATCAAGGTAAATGGTGCATTCCGTTGCTATGGAAATGATCGAAATCACATATTTGTACAAATATCGTCAACAGAGCATGTTTTTTGTTACAATTCCTATGATTATAGAATTGAGAATGTATACGGGGAATATGTCAAAGAGACAACAACCCGACCAAAAGAGCAGAAAAACGCCCAAGGGCACCAATGGATCCACAATGCATTACATTTGCATGGTTTGCGGCGACTTTTTACCAGTAACAGATTACGAATAAACTTACCGGTGATATTAAGGCAGTCGCAACAGACGAAACAGTAAAATGCAAGAATAAGTATAAATAATCCTTCCTTCATCACAGCACTATATGCTTCTATATAGGTTATGCTTCTTCTTTTCCAAAATAGTACTTCCTATTCAATTTAGTTATTGCGATCCTATTTCATATCATTTTCTTATTATTCTAATGCATATTATCTCTGAGTGGCATTATCATGTTGTGGATACAAGAAAACAACACAAACGTTGTGTCAAGTGACCAGCTAACTATGTTGTGTATTACAATATAACTTAAAAATACCCATGGACTGTTTCAAACAATACCATTATTAAATTAACAAGTTCTTGTTACATGTAACTATGCCATTCTCTTAGTTATAGACAATTGTTCGTGAATGGTACTTTTAACAACAATCGACAAGTCATATATAAATATTAGATTTTAACAAACACATATTAATTACAAATTAACGTAAATCAACATCTTATAGAGCTCAAATGATTTACTGATACCAAATAACCTTTAAAATCAAGACCTTTAGGTTCAGACTTGGCAATTGCTTTTGACGTTTAACGCGGTAGATAAATAATTGTTTTGTATTCCTTGAATAAGTAAAGATTGTCTTATTGTTCAAGTTGTTTTATGGTTTATCTTACAACACAAAACTTTAACTCAAACGCAAATATATGAACAAAATATTGCTCTTTTTTATATTTGCTATAACAAATTCTTTACTTTGTTATTATTCAATGTTCATAATAACCGCTATTTTGATGATTAGCTTGACCAAGTATGCTGGGTCGCCGTGTGTTGCTAAGGGGGACGGGGCATATCAGTAGATAGTGAAAAGGTGTATTGGTATACACGAAAATAGATCCACAGTGAAAAGGAAATACGACCTTGGCCTATTGGTGTTCAAATATGCAATGTACGTGTCTTTTAAAGCCGAACCCATAGATTTCAGTACACCTCAAAAATTTCAAAAAAAAAAGAAACGTTAACTTTCAGTGTGAGTTACTGCAAAACTGAAATCCAATCTGATGAACACTTAGATGAACATGCATATAAATATATTTAGAGGAATAAGTATTTTTACTTTTTAAAACATTTAAATGTATGAAAAATAATATTTGCACCAAGTATCAATAAATAATTTGTGTGTTTGTTTAAACATTTCAATTGCAGAAGAAGAATAGAAAAGAAACCATATACTTCTTACTCTTATAAAGAAGTAGTATTTTGGTAGAGGAGACAGAAAAAAGTAAAATCACAAAAATACTGAACTCCGAGGAAAATTCAATCGGAAAGTCCCTAATCACATGGCAAAATCAAATGACAAAACACATCAAACGAATGGACAACAACTGTCATATTCCTGACTTGGTACAGGCATTTTCAAATGTAGAAAATGGTGGATTGAACCTGGTTTTATAGCGCTAAACCTCTCACTTGTACGACAGTCTTATCAAATTTCGTTATATTTACAACGATGCGTGAACAAAAGACCGAATATGACAACAATATGCAATGCATAATTTGGTTCAATTTATGGGGTAAATGATTGCACAGTTAACTGCTATATATCCCACGTACTTAAGATTTAGATAATACGAAGTTGTCACTATTTGTTGCTTTTGGTTGTTCTTTGATTTCAAAAACATTCAAGCTTCACTTGTATGGTATTATATTCTATATATGCAAGCAAAATAAGTTCCAACTGTAAAAATAGAGAACCGAGAAAAAGTATTCTTTAGCCTCAATCAATATTAAAAAAGTTCATTTCAAACACATTTCTATAGTGTAGTAATTGTGTATGTGATTTAAGCAGTGAATCGGTTCAAACAGATGGAATAAGTATAATAGTGTTGAATTTCAATGACAGGTCTATCCGACTATTCCATCAATTTTTGTTGTTTTTTGTTTGTGTTTTTTATTTTTTTATTATTTATTATTATATTGTTTATTGTTTATTGTTTTCATTATAAATGACAAATGTGACAATATATCATGGTAAATGGTGCATTCCGTAGCTATGGAAATAATTAAATTCAAAGATTTGTTTAAAATATCGTCAACAGAGTATCATATGTTATATTTTCTATGATTATATAATAGAAAATGGACACGGGGAATACGCCAAAGAGACTGCATCCCGGATAAAGAGCAGACAATTTATCGGCGACGTTTTACTAGTAACAGATTACAAATAAACTTAGGCTATCGCAACAGATTAAACAATAAAATGA